AATTAGTAGTATAAACACAACTGCTTCTACAGACACACACTCAAATATCGGTTCAGTACTCAATATCGGCCGATAACCTGAGCTCAGGTATCAGAATCGGTATCGGGAAGGGAAAAGGGTATCGGAACATCCTTAATTTATACAGAATTAGTAGTATAAACACAACTGCTTCTACAGACACACACTCAAATATCGGTTCAGTACTCAATATCGGCCGATAACCTGAGCTCAGGTATCAGAAACGGTATCGGGAAGAAAAAAGGGTATCGGAACATCCTTAATTTAAGCAGAATTAGTAGTATAAACACAACTGCTTCTACAGACACACACTCAAATATCGGTTCAGTACTCAATATCGGCCGATAACCTGAGCTCAGGTATCAGAAACGGTATCGGGAAGAAAAAAGGGTATCGGAACATCCTTAATTTAAGCAGAATTATTAGTAAAAACACAACTGTTTCTACAGACACACGCCCATGTATCGGTTCAGTACTCAATATCGGCCGATAACCTGAGCTCAGGTATCAGAATCGGTATCGGGAAGGGAAAAGGGTATCGGAACATCCTTAATTTATACAGAATTAGTAGTATAAACACAACTGTTTCTACAGACACACGCCCATGTATCGGTTCAGTTCTCTGTATCAGCCGATAACCTGAGGGCAGGTATCAGAATCGGTATCGGGAAGGGAAAAAGGCTATAGGAACATCCCTAGTGAATATTTCAACTACAAATATTTTACACAGATTTTTAACACTTAAATTAAATACCCTGCAGAATTCGCTTTCAAAACATTCACTTCTGTTTTAAAAAATATGATGTAATATATTCAGAAGGCAATTTTCAGTTCATCCTGTTTCAGCTCAAAAATTCACTTCCATAAATTTAGTGGTATGAATTCCAGGAAAAGCAACAGAGTGCAGAGTAACCATCTCCAGCTGCTCTTTCACCATGATCACCATCATCATCATATTTGTCAAAAAATATTAATATTATAATATGAAAATGTATTTAAATATAAAACTCGTTAGTTAATTTTTTGGCATATCTACTGGTTTAAAAATCAAGTGAATGTTGAAACAGCAGCTGAAGATCATGACTCTGTACTCTACTATTGCTTTTGCTGGATTTTTTCAGACCCTAAACCACTGAATTTATGAAAGTGAATTTTTGAGCTGAAACAAAATGAACTGAAGATAGCCTTTTGAATGTTCTGCATTATATTTTATACAGAATTAAAGATTTTGGTTGTGAATTCTGCAAAGTAAATATTTGTGGTTGAAATATATGATCCCACTTTATATTAAGTGGTACTTACACTGAAATGAATAATTTGTTCCAATGTACTTATTGTGTAAATACATGTTTCTACATTGTACTTATGATCGATTAAATAGATGCATGTAATTACATCTTATCAATTATACTGCTCACCATCCTTGAACCCAACCATACCACCAAACCTGTTCCTATCCCACCTCAAAAGCACCAACAGTGTTCTTCAATACATCATGAACACAGTAACTACACTATATTTTTGTTGATGTAAGTGCACAGCAGTTAAGGCCACCTAATATAAAGTGGGACCAAATATTTTGAAATATAAGTTCAATTTCAGGACCTACAAATGCAAACCCTGGCTATTAAAGTCATTAAAATAAAAGCACTTGTTAATTTTTAGTTTTTTATGAGTTAGTGATATTCGACAAACTTTTTACGTCAAATACTTTTGCCATTTATTTTGTTCCATACCATGCAACATTATGCATGCAGTGATTAAAAAGAAATGCTAGTGAAGGTTTTGAGCTCACACACACACACACACACACACGCTCCTGCAGGGTCGCAGTGCTGAAGCTGGATGAGAAAGTGCAGGTTCTGATGAGGGAGAGGTGGCAGAGAGACGTGGCAGAGCGGGAGAAAGCGGACCGGAGAAACAATGAAGAAAAACACATACAAGAGCAGGTCAGACAGACTCAGCATCTCCATCTGTATACCTGGAACGGATATTAGATACACAATGTATGATGCAGCGTTGCAACTTTATAACTGACATGACACTGAATGTGGCTCCTTTCCTATAGGCTCTTGATTAATCACATAAATAATTAATATATTTATTTTTTATATATATATATATATATATATATATATATATATATATATATATATATATATATATATAAGAATAACACCAATGTTTGTTTTTTAATTAGACAAAACTGTGTAAGATATATGAAATTAACATTATCTTTATATTTTTGTATGGTTCGCCTTCAGTTAAACAGCCTCAGGGCAGTGATGGAGGATTGGATGAGCTCCTCGTCGTCCCATTCACAAAGTCACCAGCAGGAGGCAGACTTGTTGAGTAGAGTCCCAGGACAGGATCAGGGTCAAAGGTCAGATCAGGGTCAGAGGTCAGGTCAGGATCAGGGTCAACAGCTGACAGCTCAGGAGGTCAGTCAGATCACCCAAAGTGAGGACAAACCAAAGGACAGGAGCATTCACCTCACCCACCAGCAGCACAGGGACAAGAATAAGGTACACTATACTATGTACTCAAAGTATGTACTATTTCTGTGAAGAAAACGTACATACTTTTGAGTGTGTAACAGAAGAGTATGCGAGATTTGGGACATACTACTTCCTTGTTGCTTGGTTACACGTTATGCCAATCATCTTGTCACATTTCTTTCATGTTTTATATCCTGTCAGCAGTGATTCTCAAACTTTTGTCATTAAGTACCACCTCAGAAACAAACTGTCTCGCCAAGTACCACCATAATGACAAGGCTGATTAATTCCTATTATTACTAATATTTATTATTGTCAGCCACTTTAAACATTATAAATAGTTTGAGCATTATTAACAAATAGTAACCTATTCATCAAAACCTGGAAATGTTGCAACCCAGGCTCATTGTGAAAACGTTGTCCCATGGACGTTTCTGGAGCGGGAGGTACCTATTTTTGCAGTTTTTGTTTCTGCGAATTTGCGAGAGGCCGCTGTGCGCGATTCTTCGCATCTCGAACATCTTTCGCAAGCGCCGTTCACATCCGCGCTGGTTTTTACGTAACCCGCCAGAGGCCGCTGTCGAACGACCTTCCGTCTGTCTGTCTGAATGACAGAATGATTGACTGTGCGACCGGCCAATCGGCTGACCCACCCTCCTCCTTCCCTAAACCCAACCAACAACGATTTACAAAAGCCGTCCAGAAAAAGAAAAGCCCTCGTTTGATTTTTACCATGCTTTCGGATTTTTACCACATTCTCACCCTGATATGAACTTGTTCGCTTTATTTTTTGAATTTTATTTTTGTTTTCTTACCTGATATCTGGAACCGCTCTTCCCCGGACTCAAACTCGGTCGTCGTCGTCGTTGTCGTGGTCAGCTTCTCTCTGTGCCTCGAGTCCACCGATGTACACAACGAGCTAACCGGACAAACTGGTTGCAGCGGGAAAGCCCTCCACATGGAGGTGAGCGGCCGGCCGGCAAGCGGCGAAAGGAACGGCATCACACCGCCCCCGCAGTGTTCGCTTAAAAAATGAAATGCAGCCATACGTACCTCTAGCTACGTATTTCGCGGTCTCCAGAAACGTCAACGGGACTACGTTTTCAGAATGAGCCTGGGTTGAAATGTTGCTTTGACCTTATATAGAGGCTTTACAGTAAGTCATCATATTCACACTGTATTTAAACCATTTTAGATCAATTTTAAAGATCTGCTTACTGCGCATCCTTAACAGTCTGTGTGTCAGAAAAGTGAGTGATCATATGCAGAAGTACACTGTGTGACCATTTCATACGTGATTTATCCATTGATACGTGTGGAAATTGATTTTAGATCTCATCTTAAGTGCACCATAGAGTTTGTGTTAACCGTACACTGAGACTAGCTTTAATTAGGCTTTATTCTAGCTATTTATTTGTTTTTATTTATTTAATGGCTTATTATATCCTACGTCTAAGCTTCAAGCAAGGCGAAGTTTGACATTTGAATCACATCCAGATAAATTAGCCTAAATCTGAGGTAACAAATTTACCTTGATTTACATGTTAAGCCAATGCAAAGATGTGAATAGACATCCTGTGGTGTTATTCACACGAATGAGTTGGATTGAACGACGTGCTTAATGTGAATTAAGCAGCACAAATTGAGCGTCAATTGCTCGAGCTGGAAATTCTGAACTTTAGCAGACATTTGCACTACGTTAACCAATCAGGAGTTTGCTCTTCTTTGGGTGTGATTATGATGTCCTAAGGGAAAATCCTCCTGCTGACACCGGACAACAGCTCATCAAAATAGGCTTGGCTCAGTCGGAAGCACCGCTGAAGGCCTCCGTCATCCAGGTATAGTTTCTGGAGGAATTGATGAACTCACAGAGCTGGATGCACCGCTGAATGGATCTAGTGGACTTAGACATGACGCCGAACAAATCTACAGTGTTTTTCAGCCTTCCAAAAGCACATAAAGCACAGCTACTCTTTCAATAAAATCCATGTTAGCCATTTAGCAATTAAACTAGAGTCACTGGCCTGCCCATGACGTAATTCCGTGTCTATCGTAAGTAGTTTCACTTGTGAATGAAGCAAATTTGACACGCGAATGAAGTGAGTAATTGTTCACACATCTATTTCAAATAGCGATATTTATTCGCACATGCCGCATCTGGTGTGGACACAGCATTGAACTCTGCCCTCAGTCCTGCAAAGTTTATTACCTGCTTCAGCAGATCTGCTTGTGTATTTTATACGCTCCTGAAAAGCTCGATCAGCTGCTTCAGTGTTTAAATTTGGCTGAGCTCCAAAGGACAGTGGACATCCAGGAGCAATGTGTAAAATGTGTTTTTGTATCTCAGTGAATACATGTAAATTATCCCGAGAACAATCCCTGACGTGGCAAATACCAAAAAATACTGTGATGTTAACTCCATGCTTAGTTTCAAAGCACTTCACGGGACATTTAATACCAGGTTATGCTTGTGTTTTTCTGCAGAGCACTGGTCTGCTGCGTGACGTCCAGGAATCCATGCTGCAACTCCAGGCCGAGTTTGAGAAACTCCACAGCACATCAAACCACCTGATGGAGGAACACCACAACAAGCAGACCCACATTGATGTGTGTAACATTTCTTAATTCTATCTCCTAATTACACTGTGAATAATATCTGTCCGCGTACTGAGCCTTGGGGTACTCCATTGTGCACTTATGATACATATTATGCTTTCTCATTTAATGCCTCAAACCCATATATCTCAAGATATATACTATATATATATATATATATATTTATATATATATATATATATATATATATATATATATATATATACGAAAATTAGCTCTGTGTTTATCAGTGATATCCCCTAAAATCATCATTTACGGTGTGAAAAGGTCCAAGTACAAAGCCTTGGTGTGCTCCATAAGTGAACTTGTGATCGATATATGTTTTTTCCATTTACTGCTACAAATGTATGTGAGACTCACCGGTCCTATTACACCCAACCCGGCCTGAGCTGGGATCAAACCGCCGATTTTTTTGCATAGGAGTCGGTTTGCTCTAACAAGTAGGCTAAAGACCATGGCCTCTAGCCTCTGTCACTAGAGCACCTTTAGAGGTCAGAGGAGTGAGGTTTACCTGCATAGCACTTTGCTAGCTGGCCTCCGTTTAACTCACTGCCCTAAACCTCACTCCTATCCCGGACGAGCCCCCATGTGTAACCCACTGTTCTATCGCGAGAAACCCGATCTGAGCTAGGATCGAACCGATAATTTCTTCCATGGGATTCGATTGCTCTAACAAGGAAGCTAAAGACCGTGGCCTCTAGTATCTGTGGCTAGAACACCTTTAGAGGTCAGAGGAGTGAGGTTTACTGGCATAGCACTTTGCTAGCTGGCCTTTATTTTACTCACCCTCCTAAACATCACTCCCATCCCGGACAAGCCCCCATGGTGCAACCCACCAATCTAATTGCACGCAACCTCATCTGAGCTGGGATCGAACTGACAATTCCTTGGATGGGAGTCGGTTGCTCTAACAAGGAGGATAAAGACCATGGCCTCTAGCGTCTGTCACTAGAGCACCTTTAGAGGTCAGAGGGGTGAGGTTTATTTGCATAGCACTTACTAGCTGGCCTCCAGTATACTCACCCCCCTAAACCTCACTCCAATCCCGGACGAGCCCCCATGTATAACCCACGGTTCTATCGCAAGCAACCCCGTCTGAGCTGGGATCGAACCAATGATTTCTTCCATGGGATTCGATTGCTCTAAGAAGGAAGCTAAAGACCATGGCCTCTAGTATCTGTGGCTAGAACACCTTTAGAGGTCAGAGGAGCTGGCCTTCGTTTTACTCTCCCTCCTAAACCTCACTGGCATCCCGATGAACCCCCATGTGTAACCCACGGTCCTATTGCACCCAACCAGGTCTAAGCTGGGATCGAACCAGCGATTCTTTGCATAGGAGTCGGTTGCTCTAACAAGGAAGCAAAAAACCATGGCCTCTAGCATCTGTCACTAGAGCACCTTTAGAGGTCAGAGGGGTGATGTGTACCTGCATAGCACTTCACTTGCTGGTCTCTATTACACTCGCCCCCCTAAACCTTACTCCTATCCCGGACGAGCCCCCATGTGTAACCCAAGGTCCTATTGCACACAACCTGGTCTAAACTGGGATCAAACCGGCGATTCTTTGCATGGGAGTCGATTGCTCTAACAAGGAAGCTAAAGACCATGGCCTTTGGCATCTGTCACTAGAACACCTTTTGAGGTCAGAGGAGTGATGTTTACCAACATAGCACTTCGCTAGCTGGCCTCAGTTTTACTCACCCTCCTAAACTTCACTCCCATCCCAGACAAGCCCGCAGTGCAACCCACCAGTCTAATTGCATACAACCTCGTCTGAGCTGGGATCGAACTGACAATTCCTTGGATGGGAGTTGGTTGCTCTAACAAGGAGGCTAAAGACCATGGCCTCTAGCATCTGTCGCTAGAGCAGCATTAGAGGTCAGAGGAGTGAGGTTTACCTGTATAGCACTTCACGATCTGGCATCAATTACACTTACCCCCCTAAACCTCAATATCAACTCTCATGCAAAGATACAACCAGCGATTCTTTGCATGGGAGTCGGTTGCTCTAAGAAGTAGGCTAAAGACTATGGCCTCTCATGTTTGTTGCTAGAGCACCTTTTGAGGTCAGAGGAGTGAGGTTTACCTACACAACACTTTGCTAGCTGGCCTCTCAACTCAGTAAAATTATTAACACAAAACATTACAAAAAAGATAATATGTGAAATTGTGGCTTTTCTAGCATCTCTACAAAATTGTGGAGGAATTGGGTGTGAAGAAAGCTGACAAGGAGCTGGTGGAGATGGAGATTGAAATCGTGAGTTGCATCTTTCTTCATTTCATAAAGAATCGTCAGACTGTCACATTTATTTTAGTCAGTGGACGCCATGTTTTTTGCTCCTCAGAAAGCAGATAAACAGGCTCTGGACAACAAGGTGAGCAGCATGCAGTTCGACAGCATGACTGAACAGCTCAATAACATGCTGCAGGAGCTGCTCAGTAAGATCACTGGTCAGGAGCAGGACTGGAACAAGGTCATCGAGAAGATCTCCACCGAAATGGACTCCAAGGTGAGAGATAAAAGTGATGATGACATCAAAACAGACTTTCAGTGCCTTCCAAATAGGATATTGTCCTCCGAAGGGAACTTTGAAGTGTCATTTAAGTGTCATCCTTCCTATAAAATGAGCCTATAAACTTTCAACTTTAGAAGTCAGAAAGGGTCTTATTTTTCAGTTTTGTGGCAAGCTGTGGCAACATAAAAGGAATTAATGCATGAAAATAATTACATCTAGCAATGGTCTCAAACTAAATTCCTGGAGGACCACAGCCTTATGTAACCCCGCCAGTCCTACACCATCCGAGTCTGGATGCAGACTCGGTGCAGTTGCATTCTGATCTGCATGCAATGCTTTTTAATGCCCACACCGAACCCAACCCCTAACCCTATCCCTCACAGTGACATCACTAGCTTCATTGAGTGACATTTCAAGTCTGAGAGATGCAGATGCTGTTGGAAGATTCTAATGTCACAATCCAAAAATCTTAATAGGCGTCATTACATTTGAATCTCAAAAACCCTCTCTACTTCAATCATGATGTGTGTGTGTGTGTGTGTAGCTGAACCGCATAGAGTTGGATCCTCTGAAGAAACAGCTGGACGACCGCTGGAGGACCATCCATAAGCAGCTGCAGACGCCTCAGATGCCCGAGCAGGAAGACGCCGCCGGAATTAGGAAGTGAGGAACCACTTATGAACTAACAAATAATTAGCAAATATTATATATTGAATCAACAAAACCACTTTTATATCTAATATATGTTGTATTTAGAGGTGAAGTTAAAATGATCAGCCCTCCTGATTTAATTATTCAAAACAATATTCATAAATTAAAGACGTAAAATCTTACATCTTTCATTTATAATCGTCTTAAAGGGTCTTACATTTTACTTATCTGCAGAAAGCCTGTAGAAGGGAGTTACTTTCTGCAGTAGCTAAATAAAACGATAACACGGTAGTTTAGGTCACAATTCACAGTGTTAACAAACCAATAACTAACACTGCCAGCTTTTGCAGATCGCTGGAGAACACTCTCTATCATTCTCCCAAACTACACATCTGACAATGAACTGGACTACATATCCCATCCTGCACTTCACTTACACACCAGTCCCAGTTCAAGACTAATTACGTGGACACACTACACACATCTTTGCAGAGTCTTGTTTACACTGTAGTGAGCAGTTCTAAACTGTACTTTTGACTCTTGTTTGCTTACTGTTAATGTGTGTTTCGCCTCCAAATCACTTTAACTGCTCTTTATATTGCTCCCGTGTGTCCCTGTTTGAACTTTTCTTGTATGACCAATCTCCGAATAAAGCTGCAAATTGGATCCAACCCCTTTCGCCAACACAACTCATTATACACACATTTATCCAGCACATTTACATTAAAAAAACAATATAAAAGTAGCATGTTGGAAAAGTAAAAAATGCATTTTGTGTGAACGGCCCCTTATTTTAATTGTTATGTATTTTCAATGTTAACCTATTACTTATGTTTAAGTCAAAACGTATGCTTAAGTCACTTTTCCTTCATACCAAAGAGAGAAATAGATTTTTGTGTGTTTTTATTTACACTGTTTTGTGTGTGTTTATTCCTGTTAGTACCGACAAAATGTATATTCATTAAATCCCTACTTCCAGTTGCTCAAATTTTCCTTTGCTGATGCATTCAGAGCTGATTTCATAATGCAACACCAAATAAAGATTGCTTTGTTGCTGAAATTGTGCATCAGTCATGACCTGAGATACCTCCATTTGGCTAACATTATGCTAGTTGTATATAAATCGACTGTATTGACTGTGTATATGTTTGTGTTTTTTTTCCCCCAAAGACAATTAGTGGCCCGCTTTCACTGCATCTCCTGTGACCGTCCAGTGGAAATGATGACGCCAGGACAGTACGTAAACATTCATCACATCTCTGTCAGTATTCTGTCACAATTCATCAGTTCCAACATGTGTTATTCAATATTCAGTGTGTTAAATTGTTGGTACAAACACTACACTGTAAAAAAAAAAAAAAAATTACGATTTATTTCCGGCAGCTGGAGTGCGCAAAAAAAAAAAAAACGTAAAATGACGGCCGTTAAATTACAGAAATTTCCTTAAATTTTTATTTCTGGAAAATTTCTGTAGATTAATGTTCGTTATTTTACTGTATATTTTTGTAATTTATTGGCCGTTATGTTTTAAGTTTTTTTTAACAGATATTAAATTAAAGAAATTTCCTTAAATTTAATTTCTGGAAAATTTCTGTAGATTAATATTCGTTATTTTACTGTATATTTTCGTAATTTATTGGCCATTACTTTACGTTTTTTTACAGATATTAAAATACAGAAATTTTCTTAAATTTTAATTTCCGGAAAATTTCTGTAGATTAATGTTCGTTATTTTACAGTATATTTTCGTAAATTATTGGCCGCTATTTTACGTTTTTTTACGGATATTAAATTACAGAAATTTCCTTAAATTTTAATTTCTGGTAAATTTCTGTAAATTAATATTCACTATTTTACTGTATATTTTTGTAATTTATTGCCTGTCATTTTTTTCCGTTTTTTTTATAAATCGCAAAATTTAAATAAACCATAAAATTAGGATTTTTTTTTTCAGTGTAGTCCAGATTCTCTAAACAAAGGAAATCCCATATTCAAGAGTTCACACTTAATTGATGATTGTTTATGAAGCTAGTTTGGCATGCTGTCCCGGGAGAGAGCCCTGAGCTCATAAGATCCTCGAGCCCGGGGCTCCCTCCCGTTTGCAAGGCGAGAGGGGAGTTTGAGCTCAGGTAGATCTTTATTTCTTTACAACTTTATTTGGTAACACTTTAGTTTAAGGAACAATTCACAGCAGTTACTACTGGCTTATCACCTGCCTGCTATGAAGACCGGAACTGTTTATTAGCACTTATAAAGTATGATCATTAGGATTAGGCGTCTCTGGTAAACTCTGAGTGTTTGCAGGCACCTGATGTCTCTTCCATCGGCTCCGGGTCTGCCGTCACACAAGTCCAGCCGGCCGTACACTGTCTATGAGCTGGAGCAGGTGCGACAACACTGCAGGAGGTGAGACCCTCACACACGTAAACACACACACACACACACACACACACACACACACACACAAGCACTTCACTCACAGATTCTGCAGACACAAACTCTCTAAAATACACACACATGCATACAGGAGGTGAGATGATCACTGCTGTAACACTGCTCGTCCACAAGGGGGAGTCAACACACTGACTTCACTGCAGCAGTGTTGGGGGAAGTTACTTATAAAGCAACTAGTTACTGTAATTAAGCTACTTTTCTGGAAAACAAAAGTAAAGTAAAAGATTACCCATCATTTTAGGTCATTTAATTACAGTTACTTATAATGTATTTGCCTTAAATGCATTAACTAAATACTAAATAAGATTAAGATCCACATTCAGAGAGGCAGAGCAGTTGTGTTCATATATATGCATGGCATGTGTGAAACGTGCTAATTCCAAACACTTTGAGTCTTATCTAAAATGTAAAATTATTTCAAATAAAGAATAAAATAACACTAAAAGGTCCTGTTTGGCTCAAGTGTAAGGAATTAATACAGTCCAATTTCTGTCAGCGCATTGAGAATTACAGTATGTGGAGTTTAAGCAGTATTAAGTTGAGTATTTAATGACTTATTCGGCAAATAAGTCACTCTTCAAATTAATTAGAAAAGTTGTTTAAATACAAAGTAAACAGTGTAATTAATAATTAAATACTGTTTTGGAGTAACACACACACACACACACACCTCACTGATCTGTATGTACAGCAGGCTTTTCTATTCCGTGTTTTTGGAAGTGAGAGTGTTTTGGCACACTTGAGGTTGTGATGTTTACAGAACAAAATATCAACCCAGATACTGTGGGCCTTGTTTTGAGGGGGAAAAAAAGAAAACAAGCACTTTTTCTGACCAAAACATTTGACTGAAGCTTTGTTTGCTCAGACTGTGTCAAAGAGAAAAGCAAGAAGTAGAATCAGATATACAGCTGGAGTCTAAATTCTTTACCCTCCTGTATATTTTCCTCATCTTCTGTTCAACGGAGAGAAGACTTTGTTCAACACATTTCTAATCATAATAGTTGTAATATTTAATTTCTAATGACTGATTTCTTTCCTCTTTGCCATGATGACAGCACATATTAGACTAGATATTCTTCAAGACACTAGTATTGAGCTTAAAGTGAAAGTTAAAGGCTTCACTAGGGTAATTAGGGTAAAGTTAGGGTAATTAAGCAAGTCATTGTATAACAGTGGTTTGTTCTGGAGACAATCCAACACTAATATTGCTTAAAATGCCTTTAAAACTATTAAAAACTGCTTTATTCTAGCCGAAATAAAACAAACAAGACTTTTTCCAGAAGAACAAATATTATAGGAAACACTGTGAAAAATTCCTGAATCTTTTCATCATTGGGAAAATATTTAGCTAAGAAAAACATTTAGAGGAGGTCAAATAATTCTTCAACTTTAAGAGTGAGGAGTTTTATAAAAGTGCAACGCAAGAGCAAAAGCAGTTCCACAGAAAGACAGCAGTGTTGTTAATCAGTTATAAAGATCAGCTCACCTAGAAACTGATATTCTGTCATCTGTAAACCCTTAGTCATCCCTTTTTTTTCAGCGAAAAAGTAATTTAGCCACAGCAACTAATTGCACCCAACGCTGACTGCACATTAGCTTTCTTAATTAGCTGATTTATTTCACTCTGCATGGCATGCAATCGAGAAACAAGCTTGTACATTGTAAAAAAAACATCCGTAAAATAGCAGTTTTTCTGTATTTTTCGATTCATGCTTTTATTTTCCCTGTTTTTTATGTTTCTGAATTGCATTATGGGATCTTGATCTTTTTTTTAACCTTGAAAAGCTGTGAAAAAGTGACTTTTATGAACATGCTTAATAGTTTGCAGTGCTATATTGTCTGTTTTGGTGTTGTATATTACACTACAGACACCTTGTAATAAACTGCAGCACATTTCCTGCTATTTCACACACTTATTTCTCTAGATATAGTACATTATATTATTTCACATGACTAAAATGTCACTAAAAGTCACTTTGTTAAACTGTAGAGTTGATTATTCAACATCAAAAGTGGACAGAGCAGAGACCAACATCCCATAATGCACTTCACCACTGTAAATAAACAGAAAACACAGAAACTGTTAATCAGTAAGCATGGGACTGGAGCTGTAGATCAGTGTTAATGACGCTTTAGTAACTTCAAAGTGGCTTGTTTTGACAGAAGCATGGCTCAGGGAGAGTGCAAACACATAGATGCGCAGCTCAGTCAGTGTCCCACATCCAGGACAGAGCAGCACTCGTACAGACGGCCCGTGCCGCAGCAGTTCAGTCTGGGCCCGGTCAGGAGGAGCAGCCGCAGTCAGAGCAGACAGTGAGTTTAACAGACATCAGAAAGAGCCAACACAGGCTCATTGTGAAAATGTACCCCCGTATACATTTCTGGAGAGTGTGAATTATGTAGTGAGGGGTACTTATGGCTGCATTTTGTCTTTAAAACGAATGCGATGAAGTGGAATGATGCCATTCCTCTTTGCGCTTATCTTCTTATGGACGGCTTTTCCCGCTGATACCAGTTTGTCCAGTGGCTCATTGTGTACATCGGCGGGCTTGAGACACAGAGAGGAGTTGAGCGCAACAACAGGGTTCAAATCTGGCGAAGGAAGATTCCAGAAAGCAGGTAAAGCAAAAACGAAAGCCAACAAATAAAACAAACAAGTAAATAACAGGGTGAGAACGTGGTAAAATTTGAAAACGTGATAAAAATCGGGCGAGGGCTTTTCTTTTTCTGTATCGCTTTTTAAAACACTATCGGTTGGGTTTAAGGAAGGTGGTGAGTGGGTCAATCTGTGCTTTTGAAAACATTATTGGTTGGATTTAAGGAAGGAGGAGGGTGGGTCGGTTAATCGGTCAGTCAGTCTGTCGACAGCTGCCTCTGCTGGATTTACGTGAGAACAGCAGGCGTGAATGACACTCGTAAGAGAAAGTTGAGATCTCGAAAAGCAAACAGAGATCTCTGATGGATTTATAAAAACAAAAACTGCAAAAATGTAGCTTCAAGGACGTATTTGATGCTCTCCAGAAATCTACACAGGGGTACATTTTCAGAATGAGCCTGGGTTGCAACAAGCACAGCACAGGGAGCTTTCAGTCTACAGACCACTCAATGCTTTGAAATGTTTGACGTAATCTCAACTGAAAACATGAAGAGAGGGCAGAGTATAGATTAGCCCCTCCCCTTTAAAAAAACAGCCAATAGTGTTTCATTTTATCACAGCTCTGCCAGTGAGTGGTTGAGCATCAAGTGCATCAAATGAAAAGCCAATGAGAAGAAGGGGGTGGGGCATGTGAGATGCTAGAGAGCATTTGATTGGTCAGGAGATTTGAGGTATGAGGTGATACTAAAACTACTTTAATTTCATGGGACCTTTAAAAAATGACGGCTCTTTATTTGTACTGACCCACACAACCTTTACTTTGCATAAAAAGGTCTTTATTGTGAGAAATGGGTTCGGATTTTAGATTATTTTGTACAGTTTTTAAACAGTTTCTCAATACTTGGGTCACTTTTGCAAACCAAAGAAACCTTTTTCTTCGTTAAATGTTTCGTTAACCCTAGTACCATGTGAAGAGTTTGCAAGCCCAAACTAAGCAAGCCAGTGGCGAAAAACAAACTTCTATCAGGATTCAACGCTAACTATTTTTTTTTCTACTGGCTCAATCAGGCCAGTGGTTCAGATTTTTACTTGCCCTGCCAAAATTTTCACTGGTCCCTCTAAAAAAGTAGTTAATAGCCATTTATTATCCAATATCTTAAATAATGTGTCTAAAGCTAAACATTATTGAATACATACACGGCATCATGTCAGTTGTCAAATTTTGTGAAAATCTATCTATTGAATTAATCAAAATATTAAAAAAACCTTGGCTAGAAATATGCATTATAGGCTTAAATTATAGAGAGAAATAACAGATGAACCAGTGTCGTGCCAAGAAACACACCTCTGCCGTAAAATGCACCGCCTCTGAAATGTGCATATTAACTTAAATTGATAAAATAAAAATTAATAATAGCGTCATAACAACTAATGACAGCGACTGAGGTAAGTTGCATGAATGGAGCCCTTACCTTACAGAAGATGTATATTTAAATAAATAAATAGATTTAATTTAAATACAATACTGATTAGGCGAGGCAGTGGTGCAGTAGGTAGTGCTGTCGCCTCACAGCAAGACGGTCGCTGGGTCGCTGGTTCGAGCCTCGGCTCAGTTGGCATTTCTGTGTGGAGTTTGTATGTTCTCCCTGCCTTCGCGTGGGTTTCCTCCAGGTGCTCCGGTTTGGGTAGGCTAAATTGTCCATAATGTATGAGTGTGTGTGTGTGAATGTGTGTGTGGATGTTTCCCAGAGATGGGTTGTGGCTGGAAGGGCATCCACTTGGCGGTTCATTCCGCTGTGGCGACCCCAGATTAATAAAGGGACTAAGCCGACAAGAAAATGAATGAATTAATGCACAATACTGATTAGATTAATGAAAGTGAATTGTTTAATGTGTGGTTTAATTGAAAACTAGAACAATTTTATGTTTTATGTTTCTTAAAAACCCTCCCAAAATGCCTAACTTTAGAGAGCGGCTCATTGTATTAGTGTATGTATTTGTATTTTTCATTTATTTGTAAACCTAGATTTAAAATACGTTTCACTTCTTGTTCTTGCTTGATCCATCAAAATAATAATCATTTTAGCCCACAGTTTAATCAGTTATGTTTTTTTAATGTAGACTGAGAATGCTAATAAAAATCTATAAGGGGGGTCCGTGCATTTTACTGCACAACATATTCACATATGCCAGACGAACCACACTAAATGAGTGAACGAGACAGGTCTCGAAACAAACGTCTGGGTGTGAACGCACCCTAAAGGCCCGTGCACACAGAGACATTTTTGCTGGCGTTTTCCGTCAACGTTTAACGCCTCGTGAATAAACAAAGGGCGTCAATGTAATCGTGCACACCAATGTGCAAACACCAGGTGCAAAAGCGTCATTTTTTAAAAAACGGCTCGTGCTCGTTTTTTTGTTTTGGCGCGCCGTGTTAAAACGTTCTCCACCAATCAGATCGGCACTTTTGATCACATGCACGGAGCTGCTGAAGTGACAGTAAACAGCACTTGGAGGCGCTCAAGCGCAAAACTGTCAATGCGAGCGCACATTGAAGAAGTTGCCCAGAGCCGATATGAACGTGGAGCTGCTTATTGCTCTGTGAACAATAATCATTCCTTCAGTCAGTCAGTCTTTATTCATTTCCCGAAGGCAGTTTGGTTGCAGCATACAAGCATGTCACACACAATACACAAAAGTACATCACACATTACAAATTCTACCTTAAGTTTAAAAACTTTACAGCTGATGGGATGAATGAAAGTTTAAAACGATTTGTCTTACTAATAGGAGTTCTGTATCAAATACGGGAAGAGAGAAGATTAAACTGGTGGTGCACAGGATGGGAATCATCTGACAGAATACTCTGAGCTTTACTCAAAACTTGTCTCTGGTATAACTGAGCCATGGGCATCTGTTTTTCCCCTGTTATTTTTCCTCCTGGGTTCACAATTTTCTCCAAACAACTCTTATTTGTCACACTTAGAGAACTGAACCAACAAAGCAAAGAAAAAGATAACAGTGACTGAATGTATGAACTGTAATCATGCACATGAGTGATTTGTCCATACCAAAAGATCTCAATTTCTGTAAAAAGTATAATCTTTGTTGCCCCTTCTTACACAACATATTAGTATTAGCAGAAAAGGACAATTTATTATCTAAAACAGTTCCCAGATACTTATACTGATCAACACTCTAAACATCCACTCCATTAATACTACTATAATACTAGCTCGAGTCACCAGTAACTTTAAAGGGTCATGACACCCCCCACTTTCGGTTAAAGTCTACTTCAGAATTTTTTCAAAAGATGCATGATTAATGGGTGTGGAGCTCCGCAAGCATCGGGCAGGAGTGGGCGTGGCCAGCAGGGGAGAAGGAGGGGAGCGAATAACTGTTGTTGTGAGTTAGCTCACAAACTGAGACACAAACCGTGAGGAGACGCATGAGTTTATAGTTAAAATGCAAAGAAATAAACAGTAATTTAATGCCCTGCAATATTTGTTATTCGTGATTTCATATACACATAACCACAATTTATATCATTATAAAGATAAGTGTGTTCATGTAAACACTATGAGGATTCTCCCTCGATCCCCGTGTCTGAATCATAGATCTTGAATGCAGACTCAGTGCAGCAGGTCTCCTGGCCTGTCTATTTTAACCATTAGCCCTGCTGGTATATAGAGGATTTAGGCAAACACAGCAGCACGGTGATGTGTCTGAATGTGAACGAACTCCTGTTAAAAGTCAACGTCCGCCATTCTCCAATTCGCGTGCTGCTCTCCCGACAAAAATGCTTGCAGCACACACACAGCTTTGCTGTATGATCAGCCCTGACAAGATTGCGGGGATAAAACATGCAACAAACCCCGTGGATCATGGAAACAAACACATACGAGCCTTCATGAACGGCTACGTGCCGTGGGTCTGTGTCTCACTCACAGCTTGCTTGAAACTAACAGGTCTGCCTTGCCTTCGGAAAGCACGTGCTCTCATGAATAATTAAGCAGCCGGCTCTTCTCATAGGATAAGAAAACTCGGCTATGAATAATAATGAGAAACCGACGCGTCATCATTGCACTTGCAGTTCTGCGCTACGTTGCCGATTTTGATCCCGCCCCAAAAATCATTTTAAACCCGGAAGCTGAAATTAGCTGACAAAAGCTCAAAATTATCCAGTTTCCCCCACAATTAAAGCTGACAGCTGCTAACATTGTCTTAACTGATGATCGACACACAAAAATCTGTTAATATAAAAAAAAGTTTTCCAGGGTGTCCTGAACCTTTAACAACAAGCGTGTGAACTTCCTCTCCTCCTCTTCTTCTGTGTTACAAGCCGGTGTCGGAAGCTTAAAGTCGATTAGCGCCATCTAACGTCAAGGAGTGATTTTGCATACTCGTCTGCTTGATGCCAGTGAAAATCGATTGGGTTTGAATGCGGAAAAAGGTCTTGTAAAACGCTGACGATAAACGCAAACGAAAAGCGTCCCGGTGTGTAGGCTGTATTTGCACACAATTGACAAGCAGTCGCAGCCAAATTAAACGTTAGTGACAAGGCAGCACTGGTCCAATTGGGCCAGCAACCATCCTGTCTAGTGTCCCCAGTGTCTCGGCTGTGATATCGGGCTGTCCTTATTGTCGGGTACTGCCAATTAAAACAAGTGCTGCAGAGTGCTGTCCAACGGAGTCTGGTTTCGCTCAAGGTTTTTTCCTTCAGTTTCATCAATTGGTGAAGTTTGTTCCTCCACTGTCGCCACTGGCTTGCATGGTTTGGGAGCTGCTTATCGATGGATTTGCTCTTCAGTGTTTGGACTTTCAGCTGTGAAAATTAAACCACACTGAACTGAACTAACCTGAACTCTTTACTAGAACTTCTGTGTTCAGCTGCTTTGACAGTGTACATTGGAAATGCGCTGTAGATGAAATGAATTGACCTGAATTATAAAGTGACCTACTGAATGTGTTGGGAAATTCTGGTGATGGCAAACAGTACTCTGTAGGGAGCTGGAAATGCTTCTTGTGTTGCAGCCCTGTGAAACCCTGTTTCTTTTATAAGTGTTGACTTGTTTTGTGGGTCGTTGTGCAGCGAGAGGATCCCGGAAATGGCGGACTACAGTTACCTGTCCCGCAGCTGTGGAGGCAGCCACACGCTCACCTACCCCAGCCGCCGATACACACGCCTGCAGCACATCACACACCTGATCCAGAGCCAGGAGGAGAGCCGGCCCGTGTCCACCGGCCCACCAGCACAGGTCTGGGACGCTCAGAAGCTGTTTCCATACATCTATTTCTGTAGAATAGGGCTGCACGATGTTGGAAAATCCGATATTGCGATATTTTATTTTGCAGCAGTAAATATTGCGACATGAATACAGTTTCACGAGATAGTTTGTAAATAGTAAATAGCACTTTGTTTGCTTTGTTTTGTTTCGTATCTAGTCCAAATATTAAAATTAAAAACTTAAATGCCAAACATCGGTTACAATGGTGCCAGCAGTGAAAATCTAAGATTAAACTTGTGAGAGCTGTTGTTTAGTTTTATTGGTGATTCCTAATATACAATTGAATTAATTTAAGGAAGCTCAGAGGATTTGATGTTTCCCCATTCAAAGATGGCCGCCAAGTGAAATGGCCCGCCTCAAAGTGACTTTGCCTATTTTTATGCACATTTTGGAAAAATGCAGAATTGAAACACCAGGATGTGCATGGAAAAAAGTACGAGTGGAAAACATTCTTTATTTAATAAGAAAAAATGTCCATAGACCATACCTGCCAACAATTTTTCCTGGGAGCCTCATATTTTTTAGACCCTTCTCCCGCCCATCTCCTGTTTTGTTATGTCTCCTGGAAAACTCCCAGAATTCCACATTTTACCTTTTAGCACAGTCCCCTTGTGCACCGAACCCAACGCACAACCATTTATATACCCGCATATACCCGCACCCCGCTCTCCAGTTCGCGCGCAACTACCCCCCCCCAATAGATACAATATCCCGGATTTTATGATTATAGTTTATGAATTTAAGACAGTGTAAAGACGTTTACTGAGTAAACTCCCGCTAATGCATCAGTAAAGTGATGTGATTTTGTTTGAACAGATGATGATAAGATAAAAATGTGCATGATGGGACACAATAATGGACAAACCAGTGTTTCCAGCACTTTGTACAAGATCCGGGATGCTGTCTTGCTCATTTCTAAAATCTCTCAGCCGTCATCACTGTGCTTCAGTAAAATTATTCTATTATTATTCCCTCCAGAACTGTCTTGAGCATCTGTCTGCACTCCCAAAGAGCGTCTCACTCCTAAAAAAAACAACCCAGGCTCATTCTGAAAATGTAGTCCCTCCCGTGGATGTTTCTGGAGACCGCGAAATACGTATTTGTGCAGTTTTTGTTTTCGTGTAAACCCACCGGAGGCCGCTGTCAAGTGACCGTCTGTCTGACTGACTGAATGATTGACTGGGCGACCGGCCAATCGGCTAACCCACCCTCCTCCTCCTTCCCTGAACCCAGTCAGTTTTACCGATTGACCCGCCCGCCCGCTTACTTCCCCTAACCCAAGCAACAATTTACAAAAGCCGTCCAGAAAAAGAAAAGCCCTCGTCAAAAAGCCTGTTATGAACTCGTTCACTTTATTTTTTGGATTCTGTTTTTGTCTTGCCTGATTTCGGGAATTGCTCTTCCCCGGACTTGAACTCATCGCCGTCGTCGTGGTCACCTCCTCTCTGCGTCTCAACTCCGACGAGCTAACTGGACAAACTGGTTGCGGCAGGAAAGCCCTCCACATGGAGGTGAGCGGTCAGCCGGTGAGCGTGAAAAGAAACAGCGTCACACCGCCTCCTATCGTTCGCTTAAAAAATTAAGTGCAGCTATACGTACCTCCGGCTACATAAATCGCGGTCTCCAGAAACGTCCGCGGGACTACGTTTTCAGAATGAGCCTGGATTGAAAAACAAAACCCCATTGCATTTATTGCACTTCATCTTCGTCTTCTGAGGTGCAACTTATTTATCAGTGAAGACAAAACATCACAGTGGCCAATCCCAACACACTTAACTACATTTCTCTGACTCATATTTGTTCAGGTTTAGTTCTCTTTGTCTTGCTGCGTTATTCACAAGTATTTCATGTAATATTCCAGCTTTGTGCATTAGTTTAATTCGCATCTTTGCTTGTGCTGACCTGTGCGAGTGTTTCTCCTCAGGCTGCAGAGGTGAACATCCTGGGCTTGAATGGGCAGGTTTACAAGGGCCGAATGAACAGCAGAGCAGTGCGGCTCCCGGAGTCACGACTACCCAACATCTCTCCTCGAGAAGGCAAGAGCACACCACAATCCCAGAGCACACCACACAGAAACGGAAACACTCACATGAATAAATACTACAGTCATTCATAGTAAATACTGTAGTGTTTCTGAACCATGGATACTATGGTAAAGTACTCGAATTATTCTGTTGTGGGGATTCTACAGCTGCTCTGGTAACACAACAACCACAGTGACAGAAACAAATGACCCAGTACTGGAGTTTTCTACAACTGTAGTGTGTATTGTACTGCAATCTACATCTCGGTTTACTGTAGTAAAATCCAATCACTGGTGACCAAGACAGCAAATCTTTGAAAGAGTCGCGGTACCCAGAGTACCCAGTCCTTTAGGGTGGAGCTATCAGTCCTTTAGGCCGGAACTAACAATCATTTAAGGTGGGACTATTAGTCTTTTAGGGTAGGACTATCAGTTGATTAGGGTGGGACTGCAGTCATTTAGGGCAGAACGATGTCATTTAAGGTGGGACTGTTAGTCTTTTATAGTGGAGCTATCAATCCTTTAGGGTGGAGCTATCAGTCATTTAAGGCGGGACTATTAGTCCTTAAGGGTGGAGCTATCAGTCATTTAAGGCGGGACTATTAGTCCTTTAGGGCGGAGCTATCAGTCATTTAAGGTGGGACTATTAGTCCTTTAAGGCGGAGCTATCAGTCATTTAAGGCGGGACTATTAGTCCTTTAGGGTGGAGCTATCAGTCATTTAAGGCGGGACTATTAGTCCTTTAGGGTGGAGCTATCAGTCATTTAAGGTGGGACTATTAGCCCTTTAGGGTGCAGCTATCAACAGCTATCAGTCATTTAAGGCGGGACTATTAGTCCTTTAGGGTGGAACTAACAATCATTTAAGGTGGGACTATTAGTCTTTTAGGGTGGAGCTATCAGTCATTTAAGGCGTGACTATTAATCTTTTATAGTGGAGCTATCAATCCTTTAGGGTGGAGCTATCAGTCATTTAAGGCGGGACTATTAGTCCTTAAGGGTGGAGCCATCAGTCATTTAAGGCGGGACTATTAGTCCTTTAGGGCGGAGCTATCAGTCATTTAAGGTGGGACTATTAGTCCTTTAAGGCGGAGCTATCAGTCATTTAAGGTGGGACTATTAGTCCTTTAGGGTGGAGCTATCATTCATTTAAGGCGGGACTATTAGTCCTTTAGGGTGGAGCTATCAGTCATTTAAGGCGGGACTATTAGTCCTTTAGGGCGGAGCTATCAGTCATTTAAGGTGGGACTATTAGTCCTTTAGGGTGCAGCTATCAGTCATTTAAGGCGGGACTAATAGTCCTTTAGGGTGGAACTAACAATCATTTAAGGTGGGACTATTAGTCTTTTAGGGTGGAGCTATCAGTCATTTAAGGCGGGACTATTAGTCCTTTAGGGCGGAGCTATCAGTCATTTAAGGTGGGACTATTAGTCCTTTAGGGCGGAGCTATCAGTCATTAAAGGCGGGACTATTAGTCCTTAAGGGTGGAGCCATCAGTCATTTAAGGCGGGACTATTAGTCCTTAAGGGTGGAGCTATCAGTCATTTAAGGCGGGACTATTAATCCTGTAGGGTGGAGCTATCAGTCATTTAAGGCGGGACTATTAGTCCTGTAGGGTGGAGCTATCAGTCATTTAAGGCGGGACTATTAGTCCTTTAGGGCGGAGCTATCAATCATTTAAGGCAGACCTATTAGTCCTTCAGGGCGGAGCTATCAGTCATTTAAGGTGGGACTATTAGTCCTTTAGGGTGGCGCTATCAGTCATTAAAGGCGGGACTATTAGTCCTTTAGGGTGGAGCTATCAGTCATTTAAGGCGGGACTATTAGTCCTTTAGGGCGGAGCTATCAGTCATTTAAGGCGGGACTATTAGTCCTTTAGGGTGGAGCTATCAGTCATTTAAGGCGGAACTATTAGTCCTTTAGGGTGGAGCTATCAGTCATTTAAGGCGGGACTATTAGTCCTTAAGGGTGGAGCCATCAGTCATTTAAGGCGGGACTATTAGTCCTGTAGGGTGGAGCTATCAGTCATTTAAGGTGGGACTATTGGTACTTTAGGGTCAGTCTATCAATCATTTAGGGGGACTATCCGTGCTTTAGGGTGGGGCTATAAGTGCTGTCTTGTTTCTGCTCTGAATTCATCCATTCGTCAATCTTACTTCACTTTGTTAGCAACGCTCATCTTTCAACAATAAAACGGTTATCACAGAACAAAGTCATGCACCGCCCTGCATTTCATTCTCATTTCGGGACCGTTATAAATGGATGCACATCACAATAGAGGAAAAAGGACAAACTTAACTCACATTTCATGGAGACAAGAGAGTAGCAGGGCTGGAGAAGAGTCAGATGGTGGGTAAAGGTTTAATGTTTACTTTCTGGAATGAACCGAGCATTTCTGCATTGCATAATAGCATGGCTGCAAATAGAAACCATCTGGAAGCCACAACAGACCTGGGGGAAGCTGGTCTCAGATCTCTGCCCTTCTGTATCTCTGAGTTACTGAAGATCGAAAGTCAAAGGAAAGACACGGGCACAGATGAGTCTTGTCATGCTTGAGCGAGCAACAGTTTGGCAGCTCTCTATGTGTGTGTGTGTGTGTGTGTGTGTGTGTGTCACGCAGAAACCAGATGACTTGTGAGAAGGAGAGTTCAGCACTGAAGGTCAGCAGTTGTTGTCCTTTACCAACAAAGCACAACAGGACAGCAAACACACAATGTTCATTTATAGGGTCCCATTTTTGGTTTGGTTCTGGTTTTTCTTTGAACCCCCTAAAAGACACACACACACACACACACACACACACACACACACACACACACACACACACACACACACACACACACACACACACACACACACACACACACACACACACACACACACACACACATTCTGGTTCTTTGTAAGTTTAATTTGTAAGCGAAAGAAATCTATACCGTGTTGTTCTGGAGGAGATGAGTTTGTGTTGTGGGTTCTGCAGGTCAGTGGAGGAGCAGAGAGAAAACATCGAGCCGCGGCCCGTCACAGAGATCCAGTGCAGCGAGTCCTGCTCGACCTCACAGCGCCATGACCAAAGCCAGCCGCTCAGGTGACCACAAACACACAGAACTACAGAACATTAACTTCATCTGTCCATCCATCACTCTATCCTTACTGATCATTATATGCTCCATCTATCTATCTATCTATCTATCTATCTATCTATCTATCTATCTATCTATCTATCTATCTATCTCTATCTATCTATCTATCCATCCATCCATCCATCCATCCATCCTTATATCTCTATCTCTGTCTGTGAGCGAGAGAAAACATTACTCAGTGCACTTCTTCTGTTTGTGTGTGTGTGTGTGTGTGTGTGTGTGTGTGTGTGTGTCTGACAGATGCCGCACGCGTCTGTCAGTTTACGAGCTCCAGTTGTACACAATCGTAATTCACACTTGAACGCTCTTTGACCCTTTGACCTCCGCAGCGTCCAGCAGCTTGGTCAGGGATCGGCCCACGTCCTCCATGGGCTGCCTTTCCCAGGACGTCCCACTCCAGTCTCCTGTCCAAAGAGAAGCTCTGGAGCTCCACAAGGACCTCGGCCAATCAGAGGACGAGCCAGTGACATCACTCTAGAGCTCGTCCAATCACAGTGGCTCTGGGTTTGAATGACATGTTTATAGAAGTGCAGGAGGATTTCTATTTTAATACTGAAGGGTTCCTTGTCAAGAGGAGGTGTAAGAGTGAATGTGTTCACGCACAGCTCAGATTAAATACGTTAAATATTAATGTGTGCTTTCACATCCTTAAACAGACCGTCTGAAGTGAAGACCTCTTGACAATTTCTTTCCCTCAGAGGCCGGCACACTTCACAGGACTTTTGAGCATCTCAGCACATCCACACATACAGTGAACTAAATAACGGGAATATCCCAAATATCAGTCTATTTTTCAGCATGGACATTTCTCAAAACATCTCCTTTTATATTCCACCTATAATAATAAGACCTATTGGGTTGGGAGGTTGTCCTGAATCTTCATCTGATCAGGTTTACAACATCAGCACATTTTAGTATATAGGGAAAAGAGCAGCATAGACATTTCTCAAAACATCTCCCTTTATAAAAAAAAAAAAAAAAAAGGCCTATTTGGTTGGAACGCTGTCCCGAATGTTCATCTGATCAGGCTTACATTAGTATATGGAAAAGAGCAGCATGGACATTTCCCAAAGCATCTCCTTTTGCATTCCTCCTATAATAAGACCTATATGTTTGGAACATTGTCCCGAATCTTCATCTGATCAGGCGTATATCAGCACATTTCAGTATATGGACAAGAGCAGCACGGACATTTATCAAAACATCTCCTTTTGCGTTCCACCTATAAAAACTAGACCTATTGGTTTGGAAAGTTGTCCTGAGTCCTCATCGCACATTTGAGTATATGGAAAAGAGCAGCATGGACATTTCTCAAAACATCTCCTTTTGTATTCCACCTATAATAATAAGACCTATTGGGTTGGGAAGTTGTCCTGAATCTTCATCTGATCAGGTTTACAACATCAGCACATTTTAGTATATAGGGAAAAGAGCAGCATGGACATTTCTCAAAACATCTCCCTTTATAAAAAAAAAAAAGGCCTATTGGGTTGGAACGCTGTCCCGAATGTTCATCTGATTACATTAGTATATGGAAAAGAGCAGCATGGACATTTCCCAAAACATCTCCTTTTGTATTCCACCTATGATAATAAGATCTATTGGTTTGGGACGTTGTCCTGAATCTTTATTTGATCAGGCGTACATCAGCACATTTCAGTATATGGACAGGAGCAGCATGGACATTTCTCAAGACATCTTTTTCATGTTCAATCTATAAAACTAAGATCTATTGGTTTGGGAAATTGTCCTGAATCTTCATCTGACCAGGCTTACATCAGCACATTTCAGTATATAGGGAAAAGAGCAGCATGGACATTTCTCAAACAATTTCCTTATTGTTGTCTACCTATAATAATGAGACCTATTGGGTTGGGAAGTTGTCCTGAATTTTTTATGGCACATTTCAGTAAATGGAAAAGAGCAGCATGGACATTTCTCAAACATCTTTTGTAGTCCACCTATAATACTAAGACCTATTGGTTTGGAACATTGTCCCGAATCTTTATCTAATCAGGCGTACATCAGCACATTTCAGTATATGGACAGGAGCAGCATGGACATTTCTCAAAACATCTTTTTTCATGTTTAATCTATAAAACTAAGGCCTTTTGGTTTGGGAAGTTGTCCCAAATTGTCATGGCACATTTCAGTATATGGACAAGAGCAGCATGGACATTTCTCAAGACATCTCCTTATTGCAATCCACCTATAATAATAAGCCCTATTGGTTTGGAACGTTGTTCTGAATCTTCATCTGATCAGGCGTACATCAGCACATTTCCGTTGTGTAATGATGATGATGATGATGATGATGTCCTGGTTTCAGTCACGTAATCGAGCGGCTAAATCAACCGCAGTTATTGCCGAAAATGCGATGCTACCACTGTCACACTTTCAAGACAAATAACACAACCACGACTAGTCATTAAATCCTTTATTATGACCTCGATAAAAACACAATGACCTCCAAAAAATGGTTTCAGATCATAGCTTCTTTTTTCCCGTCAGACATATAAATACAAACGTCAACAAGGGGAAAGAACAGACAGTACAGGAGGGAAATCCAGACAAATAAAAAAGGTTGTTGGCTAATGAATTAGTTTTGTCGATGGAGGATCTGCTCAGTCCAAACACACACACACACACACACACACATACACACACACACACACACACAAATAAACATTCCCCAAATCCTCAAATCACCATCCGACTTACAGCAGCCCGGCAGTTCAAACAGTCATCGCTCATATCTCAGCTTTCAGAAAGAGACGTTCTGGGTTTCCTTCTTCAACATAACGAACAAACAACAGCACTGGAAGACCAAACAATCATCCGCCATTTCATGGTTTACAAAAACCAAAAGTACTTTCCTCATTCCACATGCGTTTTTCTGGGCCAAAAACACAGAGGTTTGTCTATCATGTAGCCGTCTAGACTTATTAAATATGACTAACGCTCAAATTAATTCATCAATGGAGCACAGTCAGACTCGAACACCAGATTTAAGTTGAAGGCTGTTGAGTGGAGCTCATGTTATATAGATTAAATGCACGTAAATTGCTCGTAAAAAGATTCTGTAATGTAAATTTAAACATCAATGTTTTACGAATGTTAATTTAAATGTATTTAATTGACAAAAGTTATGATTGAACTGTAACTCTGAATGTGTAAATATTCGCAAATAAAAACGTTAAAAACCACAGATTTTACTGATCATTTATTTGCGAACTATTCACACTAATTCAATTTGAAGCAGCAAATGAGAAAAAAAGCACATTAAAATGATAGCGAACAGGTTGTATTATTTCTGAGAAGTATTTTGAAAAGTAATATATTATTAACGAAAATAATTGTGCAAATATTTGGAATTAAATGATGTAAATTTACACAACACTGATTTTACGAATAATTTACGAAAAAGTTGCAAAAAGCAGAACTGATTACAATGTACGTTCGTATGCAAATTGTTATAAAAACGTCAATTGAAACATTATTGCTATTACGAATAATCCACATGTTGTACATCCAAGATCAGACTTTTGCAAACGTCTTCCATAAACGCATCGTCAAAAACGTTAATTTACACAAGACTGCTTTAATGAATCATTTATATTTATTCTGCAACAAAATTGGCAGTTTTTTTACAAATGCATTCTTATGCAATTTGTCGCTAAATTACGCAACAAAAGTGTAAATTACGCAAAAATGCATTTGCTAATAATTAAATTTTTTTTTTTACAATTTACATAATTTACAATTAGCTCTTAACCAACAATATTCATAAATAAATACTTGCGTAAACGCTCAAAAACATTTAACTGTAAATTTACACAAGATTGTTTTAATGAATAATTTACGAAATTATTTAGTTATTTTGCATCATCTGGAAAACCAAAACAACACAAGACTTCTTTTATGATTCTTATATTGTATTACTCTTCTTCAAAATTTTCATCAAAACATTCTTGTGCCAGTTGTTGCAAAATTTCATTTAAAAAAACGAAAAAAATTACGCAGGATTGCTTTTGCAAATAATATAGATGGTGTGAACTAATTTGTAAACATGATTAATAAATGCATACTTGCGTAAACTGTCAACTACTATTAAATGACAATTTGCGCAATTTTACTTTTACGAATAACTTACCAAAAAATTTTAATACAAAAATTAATTCCCATAACCTAAATAGACCAAAACAACAGAAGGAACTTGTCTTTGAACACCTCAGACTTTGTTTTCAGCCTTTACGAATTAAATTTGACTGCTTTTAACAGTAATTTCTAAATTGTGAAACTAATAAAAAAAATTAGCCTGAGCAAATTTTCAATACGAACGTTGTGTGAATTATTGCAAAATTACGTTAAAAAAGGAAGCGTAAATTGCGCAAGATTGCTTTTGTACATTATTCATAAATGCATTTTCACGTAAACTTTCATATACTATTAAATGCCAATTTGCGCAATATTGCTTTTACGAATAACGTATCAAGTAATTCGAATAAAATAAAGACCAAAACAACAGAAGACTCTACTTTTAACTTCTTGCGATTGGTTTAGATTCTCTTCAAATTAAATTTGGTGTTTCGTCTGACTGAGATCCGCACAAACTCAAACTGAGTAAACGTGATTGTCTACGATGAACAAATGAAATGGTGACATGGTCGAAAATAAAACGCATGCATCATCTCAGAAAACCACTGTGGATTAATGCTCTGATCTAGAGTCAGCCGTACTTTGCTAAAACCTCAGTACGACACAAACGCCAATAACGAATTTACCGAGTGGTCCGTGGCACCGCTCACACAGAGAGCTCTTCAGCCGGAGGATCATCAGTAACGGCTGGAGCTGAGGTAGGTGGAGCCGAGACCCTTCAGACCCTCGCGTCTGCACTGCACGCTAGTATTTAGAGTTTCTGTGGGACGCTTAAAATAAAAAAATAACAACAAAAAACATGACTTTGAGTCTATGATGGTTTACTCCAAACGTCTGACTCCAGTGTAACATTGAAGCTCGTTTCCACCATAAGATTTTTTTTTTAAATAAATAAATAGCAACTGGAATTGTAATAAATGTAAAAATTTGTTGGGGGAGGACTTCATCATTTGTTGCGATTCTAACTATTCCTTGCAATAGTGGGCTTAAATTTCCCTCGCAATCTTGACTTTTAAAAAAGTACACTTTGATCTCACAAATTTGACTTTTTCGCCCCCCCAAAAAAATCTTCGTCTCCTGCAATTCTGAGTTTGTCGTGACATTTCAAGTTTATATTCTCATTTTTTTAACTAATGATGACGATTTTGTCGCAACTGTGGTTTTCTATTTCGCAATTTTGACTATTGTTTCGAACAATTTCAAGTTTGTATTCGCAATTGTAATTTCTATCCTGAACTGCAAATTAATTTCTCACAACTGCATGTTTGTACGCTTTTTACAATTTAGCCATGACTTTATTTAGAATTAACATTTCTTGCAATTGTGAATTTAAAGATTTTCGTATCAAAAAGTAAACTTTATTTCTCACAATTGCAAGTTTTAGACTTTTGCGATTACAATTTAGACTTTTGAATTGGGAATTTTGTCACTTTAAGGGTGCATGCCCACCGAAGTGTTATTCCTGACCCCAACATTTTTTACCACATTTTTTTTTTTTAAACTGCAGCAACATGGCGAGGTAGTGAGCGTTTTTTTTTTAAAGCTAAGACACTTGGAGTAGTGCTCATAGCTGAACATTATTAGCTGCACTTCTATCACTTTGGTGGACATGCAACACAAACTGCGACTTTCTCACAATTCAGACTTTTTCTCCATCGAAAAATCTTCGTTCTTTACAATTCTATGTTGTGCCATTTGTTGTTGCAAAACTTTATTTCTCACAATTGCAAGTTTATAGACTTTCACGATTACAATTTAGACTTTTGATTTGCGAATTTTGTCACAATTGTCAGTTTAAGGGTGCGTGTCCACCGAAGCATTTTTCCTGACTCAAACAGATTTTTTGCCACATTTTTTTTAAAGAACTGCAGCAACGTGGCGAGGTAGTGAGGTTTTTTTTTTTAAAGCTATGACTCTTGGAGAAGCGCTCATAGCTAAAACATTATTAGCTGCGCACTTTTAACACTTCGGTGGACATGCAACACAAACTACGACTTTCACGCAATTCTGACCCCCCACCCCAAATAAATCTTCGTCTCTTACAATTCTGACTATGCTGTGCCATTTCAAGTTTATATCTCACAACTCTAACAAATAGTCCAATTTTTCCTCATAACTGACATTTTTTCTAATGCTGACTATTTGTCGCAACTGCGATTTTCTATTTCGCAATTTTTACAAATTTTTTTTCTAACAATTTCAAGTTATTCTATATGCTGAACTGCGGATTCATTTCACACATTTGCATGTTTGTACGGTTTTTACAATTCCGAATTATTTTTACATTTACAATTTCTGCAATTGCAAATTTACAGTTTGTCGCAAAATAAACAGACTTTATTTCTTAAAATTGCAAGTTTAAAGAATTCTGCGGTTACAATTTAGTCTTTTGAATTACAATTGTCACTTTAAAGTCCACCGACGCGTTTTTCCTGAGGAAAATGTGTATATTTTTGCCACTTTGTTAACTGCAGCAGCATTGCGAAACGGTGGGCGTATTTTTTAATAGCTACGACATTTGGAGAAGCGCTCATAGCTGAAGATTATTAGCTGCGCACTTTTAACACTTCGGTGGACGCGCAATATAAATTACGACTTTCTCGCAAGTCTGACTTCTTCCCTCAATATTGCAAATTTGCGTTCAACCAATTTTAAATTGTTCAATTCTGATATACTTTCCTGCGATTGTAACTATTTACTGAAAACAGTGAGCGTCAAATCCAATTTAGAAAAGTCAGAAATGCGATGACATCGAAACCTCACAATTATCCTTTTTATTTGTTAAATCTAACGGCGGACACAAGCTCCAAAGTGTGCACACTAAAAGTCAGAAACTCCTCAAACTAAAATAAACGTTGCATTTATATTCATCATTACTGAAAAATAATAATAAAGAAACGACGAACAAACCAATTCTGACCAGGATTATTGCAAAACCTTCCTGGTTTATCCATTTATATCTAGATGGTTGTTTGTTTTGCCTTACGCTGGGTTGAGTTTAATCTGAACCATGATAATATCTCAGTCTGAGGACATGCACACTAAAATAATGTGCATTTGGAGCAGATTAAAGTCCGTGATGAATCTGAAACAGCTCATCCTGGGATGCAGAACGGCACGACCACCAACGATAATGAAACAGAGTCTCGTCTGTCAGCAGTTTTATTGCGAGTGTGTGTTGCTGACAGCGCTGCAGACGTCAAAACACACACATAAAAATCGTCCCGTCCGAATTTCCGTGGCTTTTAATCAGTGATGAAGAGCGAAACAAACACAGCCTCGTTATAACCTCCGTTCATAGTGGTTCCTCCCAGGACAGAAATCGAGATAAAAGAACAAAAATACACACGAGATCTCCAAAATCGAGATTGTTCGTTTAGAAAACAGACAAACCAGGTGTTCCCCCCCCCCCCGGTGGCCGTCGCAGAAGTCTCTGTTAAACGCTGAGCGAGGTTCGTCCTCATCTCTGACCGTGCAGGGCTGAAATGACGGGAGTTTGCGGGCCGTTGGCGGGCTGTGAAACAGGTGGCCACGAGGGCGGCGGGTGCATGTGGTGGTGGTGATGGTGGAGTGTGTGATGTCCTGTCGGGGAGGACGGCGGGAGCCACACGGGCTGCTGGTTTGGGGGCGAGGAGGCCCAGAAGGAGGCGTGAGGAGGTGAACAGGCCATAGACACCTGCGCTGAGGAGCCTCCGCCCGCAGACACGCCTCCGCCCGGGCACTCGGACGCTCGCAGCTTGGAGAACATCGTGATGGCGTCCGGGAAGTTGGGCGGGGTGGCTGGAGTGTTGCGTGGAGTGCACATCTGAACACACAAAAACACAACACAGACATCAGGCTGTCATTTAATCAGACTGTATATGGAGTGGAGTGCACATCTGAACACACAACAGAGAGAAATAAAACCAGGAATCATTACAATCGGTGTCATTTAGGGATGAGTCGTTCATTTTGAGTGAATCTTTCTACTGACTCGAGATCGAGGAGTCCTCTCAGGTCATTTTTCAAGTCTTCTATCAGGTTTGAGACGTTTGTACATCATGTGAAAGACAGAGGACAATCATATGCCGGAAAACAAACATTCGATCCGTTCATTTCTCGAGTCTCATGCTGAACATGATGAACTAAAGACTCAAAACCAAAGATTTGAAGGGGGAGCTGATCATTTTGGCATGGATTCTGTTCATTGGTTAAGCTTATATGGGACTGTGTGTGTCATACGAACGACTGACAAGGCCCACCCAGAATCTGCGCGCATTAATTCTGTTTATTTACTTGAGTAAATGTGTGTAAATCTATATCTATTCAGTTTGTAATTAATGTCAGTATTATTATTGACTAATGTGAAAATGTTCGTCTGATTTATGTACAATACAGTTTGTACGGTCATATTTTCTGTCTTTTACTAGATATATTATAAGACAAACTTGCTATATTTACCAGATAAAAGCGGATCTAATTGGATTTGCATATTAAACATTATATAAAAAGATATTATTTTTTATTTCATGTATTAAGGCACAGGTGTCAAACTCAGTTCCAAAAGGGCCGCAGCTCTGCACAGTTTAGTTCCAACCCTAATTAAACACACCTGATCAAACTAATTGGGTCCTTCAGGCTTGTTTGAAACCTACAGGTAGGTGTGTTGGAGCAGGGTTGGAACTAAACTGTGCAGGGCTTCGGCCCTCCAAGGATTGAGTTTGACACCCCTGTATTAAGGTTTTAGTTATGATACTTGCAAAATAATTCTGCTGAATTTTTTACCAAAATTCTCAGCAGAAATATCAAAAAAACGTCCGCAGATTCCGTCTGAATGACTCAATGTTTAAGATGTGAGAGGAGTTGATTATAGACCAAACACCAGGCAAACAATCAACGATTATTCTCTCTGTCTTCTAGCATTCTACTGTCGTTCTGACTTGTTTGTAGATGATCAGCGTTTGGGCTAGCTGTAGAGGAGTTTGCAAGCGACTCGTAACATTTTAAACAATATTTTGGCAAATTGAACAAAATGACGAAAAAGGATTCGTTCTCCTGAATAAACGAGACTTGAATCTGTAAAATGATCCAAACTTCCCATCAGTTCATGCGATGAAAGGAATATTTTCCAAGTCAATAGTTTGTCCGAACCATTCGTAATAACAACACCTGAAATGTCTATTTGAGAAATGGTTTCTATTTCTCACACTAATCAACAGCATAAACTACAATAACAATGATCCCCTCAGGTACTGATTATGGGCTTATTCAGTGTAAACGAGACCAGGTAAACAATCAATGAGTATTCTCTCTGTCTTATGGCATTCTGGTGTAGTTCTGACTTGTCACAACAGCAAGAAGGTTGCTGGTTCGAGTCCCGGCTGGGTCAGTTGGTATTTCTGTGTGGATTTTTCGTGTTCCAGGTGCTCTGGTTTCCTCCACAGTCCAAACACATGCGCTATAGAGGAACTGATTAACTAAATTGGCTGCAGTGTATGAGTGTGTGTGTGTGAATGAGTGTGTGTGGGTGTGTCCCAGTACTAAGCTGAAGGAAAATGAATGAATGAAAAGGAAACCTTGTGCTAGTTATTAGCAGCAGAAATAAATCATAATTTCATTTGACGTGACATTTAACCTCGCGACCCCTCGAGTCACTGAAAATAGCCTGTAGAAGGTGTGTGTTACAGTACATGAACGAGACACTGACGGAAAACACGCGTCGAGTCAGGTTAGGTCGGTCGTTAAACCACACACACACACACACACACACACACACACACACACACACACACACACACACACACACACACACACACACACACACACACACACACACACACACACACACACACACACACACACACACACACACACACACACACACACACACACACGAAAGCAGGAGTTCAGTGTGTTATGAAGGAAAAGTAGGACGCAACATCAAGAGCAGCTCCAGATCCTGATCACAACTCCTTTAATAAAGCCACACACATGCGCACACACACAGAGACAGATCAGGTGACTGACACGAGAGCAGGAAGGGTTTGTCATCAGGAGTTTGTAGGGTTTCACACACACATGCAAGTAGGTCAGTGTGACATTAGTGTGGACAAACACTGGAAGGTCACATCTTCACTAGCGAAAAAAAAAAGACAACAAGTGCAGGAAGATTTCAACCATGCAAAACATATCAAATTCAGATATTCAGCTGAAGTCAGAATTATTCACCCTCCTGTATACTCCTTTCATCTCCCTGTTCTGTTTGACAGAGAGATTTTGTTCAACACGTTTCTAATCATAATAGTGTTAATAACTCATTATTAATGACTGATTCATTTTCTCTTTGCCATGATGACAGCACGTAATATTAGACGAGATATTTAGCTAAGTGACATTTAAAGGCTTCACTAGGGTAATTAGGGTAAAGTTAGGGTAATTAGGCAAGTCATTGAATAACAGTGGTTCGCTCTGGAGACAATCCAACACTAAGATGGGCTTACAATATTGAGCTTAAAACGGCTTTAAAACCATTAAAATCTGCTTTTATTCTAGCCTAAATAAAACAAATAAGACTTTATCCAGAAGAACAAATATTATAGGAAATACTGTGGAAAACTCCTTGCTATTTGAGAAATATTACAAATAGAAATAGTATAGCATGTATAAATATTGCCAATAATTTTGCCCTCAACTGTATAAATTCTGTGAATATTCAACAAAATGAATGATAAATTGACAGCCCTTTACTTCCCAGACTATATTATCTGGCATTTGTAACTTTGTACTTCTACGTTTCTTGCAGAAACAACTGGTGAAAGCATCTTTCGTCCGGAACGCATGCAAAGCACTGCATTTTCCAGTCTGAGTAAAATATTAATATTTGTTATATTCTATATATACTCTCTACCTGACAGAAGTCTTGTCACCTATCTAAGTTATACATACATATATATATATATATATATATATATATATATATATATATATATATATATATATATATATATATACACATATATATATACATACATATATATATACATAAATATATATATACATACATATATATATATACATAAATATATATATATACATAAATATATATATACATAAATATATATACATACATATATGTATATATATATATATATATATATATATATATATATATATATATATATATATATATATATATATATATATATATATATATATATATGAGCAATTCCAGCGTTATGGTTGTGCCATTTGCAGTAAAAACTCAACACATAAATTGACAGAGAAAGTATATGTTAACATTATATTGAAAAATTTAATTATGTTTTCTAAAGCAACTAGCCACAGAGTTATGGGTGCAGAAGAATATCAATCTGTTAACGTGTTTTGTACTTTAAATGAGGAAAATAAGCATGCGTTATGGATGTGACAAAAAAAGTCTGCGAGTTTACAGTATACAACACACTTTGTAGAAATTATGTGAATTAAACTGCACAACCCAAAAGAAATAATGCTAATCAAAAGGATTAGAGTCGGCTCTCTATAAAACAAAATTGCTTGGTTTTATTTTATTTAATATTTTCACATTTCTGAGGAAAAAGTGTCGTTATGGATGTGACATCTCTCTGTTATGAATGTGACGCATGTGAAATTACTATTTGTGTGACTTTGGTAAATCAAATAGAATAGTTTGAAAACATTGACAGATGCATTTTTGAGTATTTTTAAACTACTGTAAAATACTTGCTTACACAAAAAACCCAGAAATGGTTTCCGTATTTTGGTAAAAACGAAAAAAAATTTCATGGCAAGGTTGACATTTGCAGGGAATTGCTCATATATATATATATATATATATATCTCACATTTCATTAAAAATTAAAATATTGTCCTTTTTTCCTTCAAAGTAAATGACAATAAGTCAGAATAAATGGATCGAAACAAAAACTTTGCTACTGCTGTCTAAAAATAAATATAACAATTAAACGAAAGTATGGCATTTTTTGTCATTTTATGCAAGTAAAATAATTTTAAATGACATTTTATTTTGTAATCTGAAAGAGATGACATTAGTGTACATAATAAAGTTTAGTTTTGACTCAAACACAACTATAAATCATGAAAAGAGGTGCCTCATTCTCATAGCTGTAAATAACTAGCGACAAATAAACACGTATTTTCAAAAGAAACAACAATTTGGATCATTTAATAATTTTCCTTCGACTGATTTCAGAGGTCGTCACAGTGGAATGAACCGCCAACTATTGCAGCATTTGTTTTATGCAGAAGATGCCCTTCCAGCATTGGGAAACAGCCATACACACTCAGACACTACAGCCAATTTAGTTCATCAATTCCCCTATAGCGCATGTGTTTGGACTTGTGGATGAAACCGGAGCACCAGGAGGAAACCCACACGAACACTGGGAGAACATGCAAACTCTACAAAGAAATGCCAATAGACCCAGCCAGGGCTCGAACCAGCAACCTTCTTGCTGTGAGGCAACAGCGCTAACCGCTGAGCCACCATGTGATGATTTTTATAAAAGCATAAATGTAAACAAAAGAACTGTGTGTTTAAGGTAGAAAATAAGCATCTGTGAATCCTTTATGTAGTGTGGAGAGCAAAACGGACGTGACTCATCTGCGGCCCTCAGGAAATGGGTCCCGTGTGTTTATAAACGTCTCTTTGTGTTGACTGCATCTGTATCACTCACACACCAACCCCCTCTCATCCAATCAGACTCTGCTCTCAGCTCAGCTCCGCCCCTTTGCCCATATATGGCTCACAGCTGCATGATGTAATGGCTGCTCTCGAAATAAAAACAAACACAGATCGACTTCCTGCCTCTGCCTTTCTCAAACACACTCCCTTTTCCCATGCAGCCAGATTACACACACACACACACACACACACACACATACACACACACACACACACTGATGCAGGCACACACTTGTCGTGGGTGTAGGCTGATGTTGATGTTTTAAAATGCAGAATCATATCGCAGCATGTCTTGTGAGACTGGTTTAGAGAAGGAAAACTGCTTGCATAACCCTCGGCAGATTGAACAACAGCACTTGTAGGTCTGGCTTTTATATATATATATATATATATATATATATATATATGTATATATATATATATATATATATATATATATATATATATATATATATATATATATATATATATATATATATAATTTTTGTTTCTCCAGAGGAAACGGCACGGCTCATGTTTGAGCCGTCTGATGAGGCTCAGAAACAGCTGCATGTATGTAAACAGACCCTAAAATCACTTCATCAAGACCCAGACCGCATGACTGATCAAATGTTTGACAGCGGAGTAAAATCTGCCTTTTTAAAAACATTGTTTCCCTCAAGATAGTTTCCCTTTTTTCTGCAACAAACATTAAGAATATATCGACATCAGCGACAATACATAATTATTTATTTTATATATATATATATATATATATAGGTCTCGTTTATATATATATTTATATATTAATTAGTTATAAAAAAATATTAACATTCAAATCTGAAATGGTTTAATATTTACTTTTGATTACAATTCAACCATTTCTGAAGGATTTGCTTTAAATAAATAAGTTAATAAATAAGTAAATAATTGATCAATTAAAAAGGGTAAATAAAAAAGTAAATAAATATGTAAATAAGCAAATAAATAAGCAATTCAATAGGTAAACAAAAAAGTAAATAAATATCTAAATAATTAAGCAAACAAATAAGTAAATAATTGAGCAAATAAACAGGTAAACAAAAAAAGCTAATAAATAAGTGAATCAATAGGTAAATAAAGTAAATAAATAAGCAAATAAATAGGCAAATAAAGTACATAAGCAAATAAATAGGTAAATAAAGTAAATAAAAAACAAATAACTAGATAAATAAAGTTAATAGATAAGTATAAATAAATATGTAAATAAAAAAGCAAATAAATGGGTAAATAAAGTAAATAAGCAAATAAATAGGTAAATAAAGTAAAAATGCAAATAAATAGGTAAATAAAGTAAATAAATAAGCAAATAAATAGGTAAATAAATAAGCAAAAAGATAGGTAAATAAAGTAAATAAGCAAATAAATAGGTAAATAAATATAAATAAATACATAAATGAAAAAAGCTAATAACTAAGTAAATAACTAAATAAATAGGTAAATAAAGTAAATAAATAAGCAAATAAATAGATAAAAAAGTTAATATATAAATATATAAATAAATACATAAATACAAAAGCTAATAAATAAGTAAATAAGCAAATAAATAGGTAAATAAAGAAAATAAATAAGCAAATAAATAGGCAAATAAAAGTTAATAAATAAAAATATATACATAAATAATAATACATTATTAATACATAATACATAAATAAAAAAATCTAATAAATAAGTAAATAAATAAGTAAATAAGCAAATAAATACAGTTAATGAACAGTTTCAGTGTTTTCTTCATGTATTTACAGTTGTGAATTGCATTATGGGCTGTTGATCTCTGCTGTCCACTTTCGATATTGTATAATCAACTCTACAGTTTAACAAAGGGATGTTTATTGATATTTTATTAGTCTGAAATAACATAATGTACAATATATCGAAAACAAAATACAGTTTTTTACAAAGTTTTTATAGTGTAATATACAACACCAAGCCAGACAATATAGCACTGCAAACTATTACAAATGTGCATAAGTCACTTTTTTTTTTTAGCTTTTCAAGGTTAAAAGTTGTTGAAAGAAAGATCAAAATGCCATAATGCAATTCAAAAGCATAAATAAACTAACAAAAACATAAACACGAACCACAAAACTGACAGTGCAGGAAGCCCTGAGTAGCATGAAGTGTGTATTTGAGGCTCTTCAGGAAGTGCGCCCCCTCATTATTCTCTCAGATGCTATGTTTGATCACAATGACAGGATGCAGAATGCGCCACTCTTTCTCCATGTTCAATGCACTTACCATCTGGTGATGACTGGGGATGTTAGCCTCCTGGAAAAACGAGCTCAGGGCCGTCTGCGGGGAAACGGAGACAGAGAGAAAAATCAGTGATGTGACGAAAAAAATTCATCTCATAGATATCTCATATCCGGATATAGTGCTCAGCATAAATGAGTGCACTTCCGTTTGAACATATATACTTTTATCCAATTCTCAGTGAATATAGACGATCATTTATGGTGCATTTAAACATATTGAACATACTTAGGAATAGAAACATAATAAGTTTAAAGTTACAGCGAAAATAAATCAATTATAAACTACAAAATGTCAAAAGTATTTCATATCGTTTATGCTTGTCTTGATTTTTGCTGTTTACTAAAACAGCCTATTTTTCTACAATTGTCAGTTTTCTGTTTTTGTTTGTTTTATTCCAGTTTTGTTTTTGATACCGAGTAATCTAATGTATACGCAAATATATATTACCATATTTATAACGATTCTGTAAATTCAATGAATTAGTAGTCAATATATCTTGAGCACATGTAAAGGACTTTGCTTTTTTACATTGTAATGTATATACCAAGCGGCAACCTCCCACTCTCCCTCGTGAAGCAAACACAGAAGTAACATAAACTGCAATTCATCGACTGGCCACTGGGGGCTGGCTCCAGGAAATCCAGATGTTCACTGACTGCAATGCTAAATTAGCCAATTTTACAGCTGATAAAAACATGTTTACAGCCTGCTACAAACGATGGTTTTGGTGCATATAGCCAGGGCTTGACTAACTTTTTTGATCACCATCTACTGTGGCTAGATCCTTATTAGCCACTTGCTATTTTCTCTAGCCACAATTTTGTTGTTGGGAAAATCTATTTTATATGCATACATTTGAATTTGGCATGGGTTGTGGCATGCTAAAATACTTCATTTAGATTTTGTGGTTTTTCCATTTGCCTTTTCGTTCATTTAACTGTTTTTGGTTTGAGCTTACTCAATGAGCATGAGCAAATGGGTTGTTTTCATAAAAAAAGTGTCGCAGTTAGTTTTCTTTTACAGGACTTTTCAGGGGTCAACACAATAAGGATTTACCTCCGGCCACACCAGACTAATTATTTCCTTGCCAAAAGTTTTAAATAATGTGTCAAAACAAGCAAAATACGGCTGTATACATACACTTTTTATTCAACAAAACAGCTGACATTTCAAATATATATATTCTCACGCATCTAAAACCATGCACAGTGATCTGTTCTGGCTCAAGAGCCCAGATCACTAATTCAGCATACAAGAACATATTAAAGCAATATTATTGTGAAGGATGATTATTTAATTATATTAACAAAAATAACAGCAAGCAAAAGAAAGCGGATAAAAAACGTTCTGTGCGATAATGAAAGAATGATGTTACACGGTTAATGTTAGGCCAATTAATAATCTGTTCAAACAATGGTTAAAGCGAAAGTGGCAACAACTGCTGCTTACAAGGAATCTCAAGCTCTTGAAGGACTGTGAGTGCACAAGCATCGCACTAGTTTCATTTCCAGGTACAGTTGTTTTGAGTGAGGAAACGGCACAGGCGCATTTAAACACATGCGCGCATGAAATCACCTGTGCGCGCAACACTAAAGACACTAAATCACATTTGTACGCATATAGACAAACGGTCATAAACTAACAGTCTAATCTGTAGTGACGACGAGCCAGCACTGGCAATTTTAAAATGAGTTTTAGCCAGTCATAGCTAATATTACCCTTCATGACAACTGTGAGTGGGTGAATTTTTTAATAACTCATCCGTTCTGTTTATATTAAGTTATATTAAGTCTGCATAATTAAGGATGTGGCCACTTGAGTGACACCTCAGCTGATTCCGGCTGATAAGCCGCTGAACTCGGTATATATATATATATATATATATATATATATATATATATATATATATATATATATATATATATATATATATATATATATATATATATACAGGGTTCAATGCTAGGGATTTTTTTTCTTCTGGCCCGATCGGGCAAGTTGTTCAGATTTTTACTTGCCCTGCCAAAATTTTCTCTGGCCCCACCAAAAAAAGAAGTTAGCAATTTAGTTATTCAGCATAACTTTTCTTTAAATACAACTGACAATTTAAAAATGATTTAATTTAAATACAATACTGATTAGATTAATTAAAGTGAATTGTTTAACGTGTGGTTTAGTTTAATTATTTAGGTGACAATTTTATGTTTTTTGTTTGTTTAAAATCCACCAAAATTCCTAATTTTATAAGCCGGCTCATTACATCAGTCAATAATACTGTCAGTATTTTTATTATTTATTTATTTGTAAATCTTAATTTAAAATGCATTTCACTTCTTGTTCTTGCTTGATCCATCAACATAACAATCATATTAGCTGCACGAATCGCGCTTACTGGGCAAACAAGTTCTGAAACAAACATTTGGGCATGAAAGCACGCAATTGACAAACAGTCGCAGCCAAATTAAACTTTAGTGACAAAGCAGCACTGGCCCCTATTGGGCCAGTAACCATTCTATATACTGTCCCGAGCGTCTTGCACACTGGCCCCGGGCCAGCGGGCAGTCCTTATTGTTGAGCCCTGATATATATATATATATATATATATATATATATATATATATATATATATATATATATATATATATATATATATATATTTATATTTATATTTATATATATTTATATTTATATATATTGTATTTTTGTGTTGTATTATGTGGCTTTACACAGTCAGTTGCCTTTTGGAATTATTTCCTACAATTATCAGATGATATGGCATGCTGTGTGCACTTAATTGTGAAACCATAAACATTATCCTTTAGACTAAATTATTTGCACTCCTCTAAATATTTCCCAAATGATGTTTAACAGATTCAGGATTTTCTCAAAGTATTTCCTATATTTTTTTTCTTCTGAAAAAAATCTTCTTGGTTTTATTTTGGCTAGAATAAAAGCAGTTTTTAATTGTTTTAAAGCCATTTTTAGGTCAATATTATTAGCCCCCTTAAGCAATATTAGTGTTGGATTGTCTCCAGAACAAACCACTGTTATACAATGACTTGCCTAATTACCCTAAGTTTACTCTAATTACCTTAGTGAAGCCTTTAAATGTCACTTTAAGCTGAACACTAGTGTCTTGAAGAATATCTAGTCTAATATTATGTGCTGTCATCATTGCAAAGAGAAAATAAATCAGTAATTACAAACGAGTTATTAAAACTATTATGATAAAAAAAAATGTGCTGAAAAAACTTGTCTGTTAAACAGAAATTAGGGGTAAACATATACAGGAGGGCGAATAATTCTGACTTCAGCTGTATTTGGTCATATCACACAGTCCTAAAGTGATCTGCTTTAGAAACGTCGCTCTGTCCTCCCTCCTCCCGGTGTGTAGTGACTGCGGGTCAATCAGTTCAAGAGCTCTGTGATCCCAAAAAGAGTTCCTAAAGCGTCACACGCAATCTGTCAGATCTCTAGGAGCTACTGCATTATACGGGCTCAGAGATAAGAGTAAAAAAATAAACATGAACCGAGTTAAATACAAGCAACACTACTGCTCACTGCTTAAACAGTGCAGTCCTCTGTAGCACACCCTCGTGTTGTTTGTTATAGTGTTGTCCCGGTGCTGACATTTTAAAACCGTCCATTTCCCGCAAACCTTTAAGTGCCGCTGAGCATGTTCTTAAACACTTTTGAATCTATCAGGCAACGTGTCACAGCGTCAGTACACTTCAATCTTTCGCTTTCACACTTGTACTTAGTCAGTTTAGTGTAAACCTCAGATACTGTCGGTTGTGCACCTTTTTTACTAACCAAGTTTGTGGACGCCATTATACAGACACAGATCACTCTGCCTATTCATGCCAGAGTTCTGCGGAGAATGTGACTGACAGGTTTGTGCCTTATCTTTATTTATTTATGATTTAGTTATGGGTAAAACAAAGAGCATGCGGGTCAGGTAGGTGAAATTGTAGGCTGCAAATAATTAATTCCTTATCAATGAATAATTGAGTTCAGTGAATAATTAATTCACTGCCGCCTACGACCATTGTCCATCGCAATGCTTCACATTAGACATCGTACGATGCCAAATTGGTCGACAATTAATACGTTATTAAAATTAGTGACAACTGAAGCATCAATAAATTACAGAATTTTGACTTTTTGGTTGAATTATACCTTTAAATGTCACCTATTATGCCCCTTTTACAAGATGTAAAATGTGTCTCTGATGTCTCAAGTGTGTGTGTGTTTTTGTGACATATCAGGACACAAATCTGTATAATGACATGGGTATGACACAGGTATTACAAAATATGAGGACACTGGTGACGTCCTCATTTCTCAAAATGCTTATAAATCCTACAGAATAAGTCTAATCAGAGAGTAAAGCTGCACACTGACTCCTGTGATGGTTGGGTTTAGGGGTTGGGTGGGGTGAGGGCAATATAATATACGGTTTGGACAGTATAAAATGAATGGAAACCCATGTAATGTCCCCACTTTTCACAAAAACAAACGTGTGTGTGTGTAGTTTCAGCTCAAAATACCTCAACATAAAAATATAAAACTGTTCATACCTCTTTGAATCTGCCCCTTTTAGGCTTTGATCCTAACTGTGTCATTTTGGTGGCTGTCGCTTTAAATGCAAATGAGACTGTCCTCTTTTCGGAAGAGGGCGGAGCTACAAATGCCTGTGTGTCAGCATAGTGGCAGATTCAAAAACAAGACTAACGTCCTATGCTAATGAGGGAGAGATTGTGAATAATGGGCGGGGCTTTCCCCCTCTGATGACATCATAGAAAGAATAATATCAATCAAAGTGTTTCTGCAGGCTGTTTTTATAAAGTCTGATTAAAAATATCAAATTCAATACATTTTGGTCATTACAAGCTGGTTATACTCGCACAACGCTGCCACACAAATGTGTTTAAATAAAAAGTGATTCAATAAAAGTGATTTTTGCCTCAAACATGTCCTTTAAAAGTCTCTTTTTTATCATTACTCAGCTGAAAGAGACTGAAAGTTGACATCAA